GTCAAGTTGGGTTCAAAAAACCCGTACTTGTTCCAGTTCACTCGCAGGCCACCTCACTTCAGAGGTACGGTACGGGACAACGATGCTCACTGTCTCCAGTCCGAAGTGCAAACACTGCTTGCAAAAGGAGCCGTGGAAATTGTTCCTCTAGTGAACAGCAAGTTGGGCTTTTACAGCCGTTACTTCCTTGTTCCCAAGGAAGATGGTGGGCTCAGGCCCATTCTCGATCTCAGGCATCTGACGCTGGTAGCCTTTATAAATCACCAAGGGGGTCTCAGGTCATGCTCCCTTCACAGGTTGGTCAGAGCTGTGGAGCATTCATGGTTGGCCCCTCGACAGGAGTCTTAACAACTCCCCGCATGTGTAACTTATACCATTTTGGAGGCTAGAGGCCTGTCTACGAGACGTCTCTATGCTCTTAAATGGTCATGTCTTTTCTGACTGGTGTGCAGCATGGAACGAGGAGCCATTCTCTTGTGATGTGTCCTACGTGCTAACCTTTTTACAAGAGCTGCTGGACAAGGGGCGCACCACTTCCATGCTCAAAGTATATGTGACAGCCATCGCAGCGAATCATGCGGTCGTGGCTGGCCAGGCAGTCGGTGGAATCAACCTTGTCGTTAAGTTTCTGAGGGGAGCTCGGAGATTGAATCTGCCTCGTCCTCATTCTGTGCCGACCTGAGACTTAACTATAGTCCTCAGGGCCCTACTGTGCCCTCCCTTCGAGCCACTACAGTCAGCCGATTTGTGGCCCCTGACTCTTAAGTCCGCCCTCCTTCTGGCTTTAGCGATGGTCAAGCGAGTGCGTGACCTGCAAGCACTGTCAGTCAGTGCTTCATATCTTGAGTTTAGGCCTAACAACTGTAAAATTGTCCTCGAACCAAGACACGGCTACGTGCCTAAAGTGCTCTCCACTTTGTTCAGAGCATAAGTCATCACCTTTCTAGCTCTTCCCAATTCTGAGGAAGAGCAGGGTCCCAATCCATTCTTAGGCTGATGATACATGGGGCAACTTTTTGAGAAATTTTTCTGGGCAACTTTTTTTGAGCAATGTAGCTTGGGCACTTATCTTATTGAGGATGTGCAACAAATTGCTATCTGGATACTTTAGATTGGTCATGGGCCCTGTGTCTCACCTGGTTGCCCGTTGACTGCAACATTGGCCAAAGTTGCCCAGCAACATTGCTCAAAAAGTTGCCCTGTGTATCATCAACCTTAGAGTGTAAGTTGAGTAATCTGGCCCGTTTCAGCACTCAGAGCAGCTATTTGTGTGCTTCTGAGGTCACTGTAAATGCTATAGCCTTGGCATATGCTTTAGCAGGCCCTCCTATAGGGGCGAGGGCCCACTCCACCAGAGGAATGGCCTCCTTCTGGGCTTAGTCCAGCGGGGTGTCTATTGGGGATATCTTTGCGGCTGCCGCCTTGTCGTCACCATCTACCATCACCAGGTTTTATAATTTGGAGGTGCCTGCCCTGCAGGTACGGATTCTGTCTACTTATAATTTACCTAATCCCCTTTGTAAGTGGAGAAGGTTTTGTTATTCAGTCCTCAGCCTAAATGACTTGGGTCTCGTTATTAGCTCATGCTTACAGGAGCCCACAGTGCGGGTGCTCCAGGGCTGGATTCACAGAGTGGCTTCATTATGCACTTGCTTATAGCACGGCACTATTGGATGCAATTCCCATAACGTGTAACGGAATGGGAGAGACCATTCGAAAGGGAACATCTCGGTTACTTATATAACCTCAGTTCCCTGAGATAAGGGAACGAGCGTTGCGTAAGCTGGCATGCTATAAGGCTGCACGCGAGTCAATGACTGTCGCTATCAGTCAAAAGATTCTGACAAAATGGTGCTCAGATTTTACCCCATAGCGTGTAATGCAACACTCGTTCCCTTATCTCAGGGAACCAAGGTTATGTAAGTAACTGGAGTGTCTTTCACAAAAGAAAAAAAGAAATGTAGAGCAGGACTTATTTTCTGGCCATCAGGTGTTGATTGGATGGAGGCAGATCTGAATGCAAGCTTGCAGTCAACTGTAAGACAGGACGGGATTTAAGCAGCTTGACTGATTGAAGAAGTCTAGCTTATATCACCAGAGAGAAGTGTTGTTTCAATGGAAAGTTGAGACTTTTTGATAAAAAATTGTGAGCTTAAAAAATGTAAAAAAAATTAATAAATACATATACATGGATGAATCGTTGACAGTAAGATCAATAAGATGCATTTATTAAATAAAGTCAGTTTTCATTTCACGCCAACTTCAAGCCATTTGTAGGTTGAATTTGTGACGCAAACGTAGTGACATAAACTTAAATATGACTTGAGAATTTACAAAATAGCTACACAATTACCAACAGGTTGGAAATAAAGTGCTTGTGATAAAGTGATGATTAGCTTACCTGAGGGTGAAAGCTGATATGAATATTTTTAACTCTTTCACCGCTAGCAATTTTTTAATTGATGCGTAATAGCGCCTCCAACCGTATAACGGTGAAAACTCTTAAAGCCGGAAAATCTGTCAATGTTGTCTCGTAAATGACACCAAATTCTGAGATCTGAGATCCATATTTTGATATCTTGATAATATCATTCCGAGTACTTTATCTAACAGTATGGAATGTTATAAAGTGACACAGCCCAACTAGTCCATTGCTAATACTGTTGTTTTCCTGCCAAAATTATATCATTTCCTGAAGGGTGATGTCAGGGTGCTATAAGTTCAATTGAGGATGCAGTGCAAATGTTTTCAGTTTTTGTGTGCTGTCTCTTTATGTAGAGGATCCTAAAGTGGGAGTTGGTGCAGTTATTTGGGCTGAGGGCAAACAGGTGAGCCAAAAACTCAATTAAATGAGTTTTGAGTTTTTGAAAAACAAATTACTTTATGAATTTATAAATGTATTTTAAATAAAGAACACCTCTCTTATTTTCTCCTTAAACTACCTCTAGTCACAATGTGATGGCACAGGTCAGCTTTACTTAGTGGGCTGTGGATACAACGCCTACCCAGTGGGCTCACAGTACGCAGAGTATCCTCAGATGGATCACAAGCAAGAGGAGAGACAATACAGGAAGTACAGATACATCCTCCATGCGGAGCAGAACGCACTCACATTCAGGTGAGACTCATGGGAAGGAGCTGTCAGAACAACACTTGGCAACAACAGCTGATCATCAGTTCACGCTGGAGATGTGCAATATTTTATATGCACTGACTGTTTGTAAAGAACTCTGAATATCAGGCCATTCGAATGTTCAAATAAATGAATTAATTCTGCTTCCCACCTTCCCCTTTTGTTTCCCTCAAATCTGCAGGAGCGCAGAGATAAAAGAGGAGGAGAACACAATGATGTTTGTGACCAAATGCCCATGTGATGAGTGTGTTCCTCTGATACGCTGCGCTGGAATAAAGCAGATCTACACCACAGACCTGGACATCAACAAAGTCAAACACGACATTTCCTACCTCAGGTTCGACAAACTCAACGGCGTCCAGAAATTCATTGTAAGTGCACCGTAAATCATTAAATTATGATGATGATAAATTATGAACTTAACGAAAAAATGTTTGTTAGTAAAATAAAAAGATTTAACTAATATATATATATAAATATATATCTAAATTATGTATATATTATAGAAATAAATTTATATATAAAACTGTACTGTACTTGAAAATGTACTCAAAAAAATATTTTTTTCAGTGGCAACAGAAATCTTCTGCTAGACATATGTCAGAACAAGATGCTCTGCCCACAGCAAGTAAGTGTTTTTGTGTCTCGATAAAAAATAATTATCAAAGTTTCTCAGTAACTGGATGGGGAAAAGCATCTACCTTTCTGAACCCATTGTTTATTAGTACCAAAATTAATAAGAAGTCTTTAATTAGTGTAGTTCAGATTTGTGGGTATTTATATATTTTTTTAGGTTAAAATGTATGTGAAAGTATAAAATGTAAGGCCACTGTGACTGGTCACCATGTTTTCTTCATTTTTCCTTCAGTAGCTCATTGAATGTAATACTTGGATTTAAATGGTCCGGTACTAGGTTATGACAAATTAAAATTATATTCAAATATTCTGAATATTCAAATATACTATATGTTCAAATATTCAGTGTAAAAGTCTTAGTTCATAAAAGCTGAAGCATAAAAATTAGATGGAATACAGCATGTGGCACTGCAGGACAACATCCCAAAAAGTATTTCATGCCATCTACCCCTGTACACCCGTTATGAATTGTTTTTGTTGTTTTTGCAGATGGCTACATGAAACGAAAAGCAGAGGAAACTCATTTTCAGTGCAGTAAGAGACTGAGATCATAGAAGTCATTTCGAAAGCTGCTCTCCTGCCATTATGACAGAAACACATGATGTTCAAATGTGACTCTTTCAGTTCCTGGTGAAGAACTTTAACCTGCCACACTCATGCAGCATGATTTGAATCAACATTACCTTATGATTACAATACAGCATAAAAGTTTTTATGTTTTATCAGTTTACCAGTACATCCTGTTAAAAGTTTAATTATATGCATTTTAGAAATGGGATTTTGGTTGAAAGGTTTTAAAATTGCACACAACAAAGTTTTGAAATGGATAAAATTGAATGGATAAGCAGAACTGTCCATTACATGTTCACACAAAATATATTACCATTTAGATTTGTTCTAAATTTACAGTGTACAGTATATACGATACCCAATGTTTTTTTTTCTTTGAAAAAAAAGAAAAAGAAAAGAAAAAACGCTTCAGTTGGTTGAATTTCAGATGGAAACTACACCTGAATATGTAGTAAGAAACATTTTAAATAATTTTGAAAACATGGTTTGGCAACTTCATTGTACCTGCTGACAAATATATTTAATAAATTTGGCTTCATGAAAATAATTTGAAAATAGTTGCCTTGGAGTATAAATGGATTTGCTTCACCCTGTGAGTGATGGTGTAAACCACCAAAGCATATTTCATCCTATAAGCCTAAAGACGATCGTAATAAAACAATCAATCAACTGTAGAGGAAAAAAAGAATGAAATTTAATGGATTTTCTTCAACAGCATAACTCAAATACAGTGAGTTAAAGAGGTTCATTGCTTAATCAAGCTAAATATGCTCAATGAGAACATATTAAAAACAAAAAAAAATAATAATTAAGCTCCCCCTTCCAAAATTTCTTGACAAATAAAAGAGCAAAAGAGTAAATTAACAACTCAAGAACAAAAGGCACCTGTTTGTACATTTGTGTCCTCATTTCATCTCGTTTTTCAGCTATGCAACAATCTACTTCTGTCAAAATCAGCATAAACAGATGAATGATGGGTTATAGCACAAAATACATACTACAGTAAAAGGTATACTATAGTATAGAAATGAATATTATACTACAGCATGATGTACTAAAGTTAACAAATACTATAGCACTAAGGTTACTATGGTATAGAGCATACAATAGTAATACCACAGCACTATAGCTATACCTCACTGATCTACGAGTTGGAATATACACGGTTCACTTGGTGCCAAAGTTGAATTTGCAAGATTCTTCTAAATTGGCAACCGCCTTAAGATTAAAATCAGCTTTTGTCTGTTTTAAACAGGTAAACATCAAATAAAAATATGCAAAACAAAATAGTGATGCTTTCTGATCAGAAAAACGGCCTGGCAGCAACTCAGAATTGTACATGAAGACCCACAGATGCTCTTTCTGTTTCAGCGCAGATAAACAATTAAAATACTGATAAGTGAATTATGCCCTATCCTAACAAATCATATATCAATGGAAAGATTATTTATTCAGCTTTCAGATGATATATAATCTCAATTTCAAAAAATGTACTCTTATGACTGGTTTTGTGGTCAAGGGTCACATATGGTCTTTATAAGATTTGAAAATATAATCCAAAAGCCATATAAACAACAATTTTGATACTTTTATAGTACTTTTATCGTTTTGGAGCAGTAGCAATAGCCAAAAATACATCGTATGGGTCAAAATTATCGATTTTTTCTTTTATGCCAAAAATCATTAGGATATTAAGTAAAGATCATGTTCCATTAAGATATTTGTAAATATCTTACTGTAAATATCTAAAAACTTAATTTTTGATTAGAAATATGCATTGCTAAGAACTTCATTTGGACAACTTTAAATCAATATTTAGATTTTTGCACCCTCAGATTCCAGATTTTCAAATAGTTGTACCTCTGCCAAATAATGCCCTATCCTAACAAATCATATATCAATGGAAAGATTATTTATTCAGCTTTCAGATGATATATAAATCTCAATTTCAAAAAATTTACTCTTATGACTGGTTTTGTGGTCCAGGGTCACATATGGTCTTTATAAGATTTGAAAATATAATCCAAAAGCCATATAAACAACAGTTTTGATACTTTTATAGTACTTTTATCGTTTTGGAGCTTCAAAAAACTTTCCACAATTTCTGAAAAAGTCAGGTGTACCTTAAAGACATGGAAAGCCTCAAACTGAATGTTGGGGCTCTTGTCTCTCAGGAGGTTCATCATGAGCTTCAGGTTCTCTGGTTTACTGATATACCGTGTCATGACTGTGAAATTGTGTCTGTCCAGGAGCAGTTCACCCAGCAGCTGTCACATAACACACAAACACATGATGTTAATGACAGGACAGGCTAGAGAAGACAAAAATCAGATGTTACAACAACACACACCTTCAAAGACTGTCTCTTGGTCACGTAGTTCTCAGAGTGAAGCAGTTTCTCATAGTTATCAAAAACCTGCAAGATCAGTGACAACCATTTAAAAATGTCAGTTTTCCAGAATTCTATGATAAAAATAAACAACCCCAAAAAATTAATATATTACCGCATCATAGTTCTGTTCTAAAAATTCTGCCACCAGAACCTTGTGTCTTGTGAGCAGGTCCTGTAAAAAAATAAAAAAATAAAAAGGCGCAATTTACCATTTCATTTTCCATATAATTTATGTAACACAATGTGTTCAATAAAAAATAAATATAGCACTTACCTTGAAGGTGGCAAACGCATCAGAGGCGATGTCAAATGTGGACATCTCCACGTAGCCAAAGAAATCTTTAAAGTGTTCAGAGTGGAGGACGATTTTGGCGAGAGGTTCATGCCGGATGCACTCACGCAGCATAATCCCACAATTCAATGCCACCTGAGGGGTCTCATACCTGCCACAGCACCACAGCAGAAATGTCACGTTAATGTTTAACAGAAGCCATGTTCAGGAAAACGGAACTTCATGATTTTGGATCTATTCCATGATTGAAATTCATTTCAAGCATGGAATAGATGCTTCAACGTTTCAAAAATACCCATCATCTCACCCTTTGAGTAAGATGAAAAGAACTTCCTGATGAGAGCAGAAATATTCCACCGTTGGGCTGCGGGTCCCGATCTGCCTGCGCAGGATGTTGTTGAAGATCTGACAAACGTCCTTTTTACCCTGTGAACACACATAGACAATGCTATTATACCAATTATTACAATCATAAATAAAAGAGAACAAGCAGTATCCTCACCTCAAAATCGATGACCTGCAGGTTTTCCACCAGTGAGATGAGCAGGCCGCTGTTGTAGAGCTCTTGGGCCAGTTGGGCCACCGTTTCTGTGTGTGGCTCCTTATCGTTAGTGCCGTACAGGATCTCCTTCATCGCCACCAGACATTTCGACACCTCCTCTGAAGCCTGACGAACACACAAAAATCACTTTTACACAATCACTACAAAACATTGTGATAACTCAATACAACTCAGGCATTTTCACACATATGTACAAAGCATATGGTATCAACACCTAAAAGGATTCTGGGTAATTTCACATGTAAGCTCATTACACAAAGAACATCATTAGCTATTTATCAGCTGCTGAAAGAGCTTGGTTTGAAAGTGTGGAGGTACTGTGGAGCCTAAGGGTTTTCCCTTCAGCTGGAAGAGCCCCAGGCCCTCGGAGTAACAATCAGCAGGTTCCCAGCACTTCAAATGCTTGACTTTAGCACAGGGCTGCTAAAAAGAGCCTTAGTGGGCAGGTGAAAATGAGCAAGAGGTCGGGCAGTGGAGTGATATTCCCACCTCTCCGACATCTTTCTACTCGCAGCACAAATACGAGCGATTCCAGGAACCCGACCTCTCGCTCAATTTGGGTCTAAAAAATGAGGTTGATATCCAGTAAATTGAGCCACTTATTGACACTGAGATTAAAATGAAATAGTGGGCAAATTTATCTGAAATACACCTACTTCCACCAGGGTTATTATAGTTTATTTATGTTTTAACGCCATATCAGCAACAATGGCTATATTCAAGGCAACATTAACAGTATCATTTCAATACATAATTTACAATAATATAACATTTTCTTAAGAAGCAATCACTATACAAAAACATACAAGTAACAACAATAGTACTGATAAAAATCATATAGAATCTTTCAGTTTATAAACATACTAAAATTATTTTCTGAGTAAAAATGTTTAAAATTGGACATTCTATTAAAATATGGTCACAAACATTTCTCTTTTCCCCTTTCACTAAATATGAGTGAGTCATGAATGTCCAATTCGACATCAACCTGGTCATATGTATTTTCAAAACAGTAATAACTTATTTCATTTACTACTGGATTCACCTCATATAGTTTGTTGTATGCATTCATTCCATTCGCCATTTATTATTAATGCACAGATTCAATATAGATACTACATCAGATACTGGGATATTACATTGTTATTTCCAACTGAAGCCACTTTATCTGCCTGTTCATTGCCAACCAATCCCATATGGCCAGGTATCCAACAAAAAATAATGTTAAAATTTTGTTTCTTCAAAGAATCTACTTTTTCTAGTATGCTAACAATTGTAGGATGCTGAAGTGCTTGTATGCAGGACATAGAATCTGTGCAAATTAAAAAATTACGTTGTTGTTCCTTTTCTATTTGTTCTAGAGCTAAAAGTAAAGCATAAGCTTCAGATGTGAAAACTGAGCTTTGTCCAGGGATACTCTTACCAAAACGTTTTGAATCAATCGCTACTGCAGCAGATACATGTCCATCTGTCTTTGATCCATCTGTGTACACTAGTACATGAGATGGTAAGCTGTACCATATTCAAGAATTCCTGCTGATAATCATTCGGATGACTTAGCTTTTTTTTTTTTTTATACTGAGGCAGGCGCATCATAATAGTTGTTTTTTTAATATTCCAAGGCAATATAGGGCACAGATGTGTTAATGTTATGATGACCATATTAATGTCCAAGTTCTCCAAATGGGATTTTATACCTATGATATACCTAGGTCTGGCTTCATATAGGTGTAAATATCGAAGGTAGAAGACTAAAGAACATGCTGGGTTACTTTTGTTAGCTTTTATCTTAACTGCATAGCTGAGAGCCAGTGTCAATCTTCTGTTATAGTTAAATAAAACTAAAACTATTAAAAAAATTATTTACTTGAAATAATATAAACATTAACTACAATAAAAATACAAAACTCAAAAAATATATATAATTTTTTTTAAAATGTCAAATTATTTTATCTCGTTAGGTGCTAAAGTAACATTTCACATTTTCATTTAGTTTAATTTGAAGTACTAAAAAAACTAGACCTAAATAAAACTAATAAATAAAAACTACACAGATATATATTTTTTAATAAGACAAAAAAAAAAATTACAACAAAAGTAACAGTGAAAAATATAAAAAATACAATCAAATTCAAAATATTAACAAACAGTATATCAATGACACTAAAATAACTGACATAACCAATTGCCATTCAACAAGAAAAATACCAAACAAACATCAGTGATCATTTATCTATAAGTCATCAAAAGAGGAGTTCTGATTACATGTCATATTTTCTCAGATGCTAATCTCAGTTTCAGACTGCATGTCCACGTTAGTCTGGTGGGCACTGCTCACAAAACTGCCAAAGGTCTTCACAGACATTTCCGTCCCACTCTGCCCTAAACAGCAGATAATTAAAGGGGCCATATGATGTTACTAAAAAGAACATTATTTTGTGTATTTGGTGTAATGAAATGTGTTTATGCGGTTTAAGGTAAAAAAACCCACATTATTTTCCACATAATGTACATTATTGTTTCTCCTCTATGCCCCGCCTTTCTGAAACGCATCGATTTTTACAAAGCTCATCGGTCTGAAAAGCTAGGTGTGCTCTGATTGGCCAGCTATCCAGTGCGTTGTGATTGGCCGAATACCTCAAGCGTGTGACGGAAATGTTACTCCCCTTACCATACTGTGATGCCGTGTCCCGGAGCGACGAGACAAAATCATTAAAACCCATTATAAACAAGGCATTTGTTGCATCCAGTGGGGACATAATTACAGATTATAATGACTTATACTGTCTTTTGACGCGTTGCATCGTGCCGCGTAAACATAAAACCATGTCTGCATTTGTGATTGGAGAAATGACAAACAAAAA